TGTATTTCTCTTCAATCATCTCTCTACACCTTCTTCTTATCCTCAATCAGACTACATTGTTACTTGGATTCCTCCACCACTTCGAATTCCCACCTTGCCTTTGGTACCACCACTCAATCTGTCATCCGCAGTAAATGCTCAACAGCAAATCCCCCAGTGAAGTTTCACCACCACCAGACCTGGCTGACACATATGTTTTAACGCCATCAACTGAATCTTCAAATACTAACAATCCCCGACAACCATCACCACAAATAAACCCACCCGAGCCTCAGCCACAACCCACCCACACCATGACCACTAGAGCCAAAAACAATTTTTGTAAACCTATTACCAAAATGAATCTTCACACCCAATTAACCAAAGGTGATGACCTTGAACCAACCACATTGACCTAAGCTCTCAAAGATCATAAATGGCGTCAAGACATGTCTGAAGAGTATGATGCTTTAGTGAAGAATGGCACATGGGCTCTAGTACCCCCGGATAGAAGTTAAAATTTAGTTGGATGTAAGTGGATTTTTAGAACTAAACGCAAATCTGATGGTCTTGTTGATAAGTTCAAGGCTTGACTGGTTGCAAAAGGCTTTCACCAACGTCCTGGAATAGACTACCAAGACACATTCAGTCCAGTAGTAAAACCAACTACAGTTCAAATTGTTCTCAGTATAGTTGTAAGCCGTGGCTAGTCCTTAAGGCAACTTGATGTAAACAATTCCTTTCTTCAAGGTCATCTATCCGATAATGTATACATGTCACAGCCACTTGGATTTGTTGATAAAGACAACCCCTCATATGTTTGCAAACTCAAAAAAGCAATATACGGCCTAAAACAATCCCCCCGGGCGTGGTACCATGAGCTCCGAACATTCCTATTACAGTTTGGTTTTCAGAATTCATATGCTGATACTCCACTCTTTATCTTTCATGCTGATGGCCACAATATGTATCTCCTTGTTTATGTTGATGATTTAATTCTCAGAGGAGACAATGCTACCCAAGTCAATCATTTCATTGCTATTCTTGCTCAGCAATTTTCCATCAAATACCTCAGCTTACTAACTCACGTTCTGGGTGTAGAAGTTATCCCAAACAAACATGGCTTGTTACTCTCACAAAGGCGATATATTATCTCCTCACTCAAACCAAGACGCAAGATGCCAAGACTATTCTTACTCCCATTGGTATCAGTCCTACTCTCATGTTAACCTTAGGCTTTTCTCTATTCGATCGAACTGAGTATCGCTAGGTAGTTGGGAGCCTCCAATATTTGCTAATAACAAGACCAGGCATCGCATTTGCTATTAACAAACTGTCACAATATATGCACTGCCCAACAACCGAACATTGGTCATTTGTCAAACGGCTACTCCGTTATCTTGTTGGCACCATTGATGATGGCTTACAACTCTACAATGATTCTACTCTCAGTTTGCATGCTTTCTTAGACTCTTCTCTCAATTTACAAGCTTTCTCTGACGCTGATTGGGCAGGGGACAAGGGCACTGTTTGCTCAACCAGTGCTTATGTTGTTTATCTTGGTAAAAGCCCGATATCCTGGAGTTCTAAAAAGCAATGGAGTGTTGCTAGATCCTCCACCGAGGCAAAGTATCGCTCAGTTACAAATACAGTTACTGAACTTAATTTCATCTGTTGTCTCTTGACTGATCTTGGTATTTCGCTTCCCTACTGCCCTGTCATTTACTATGATAATATTGGGGTGACTCAGCTCTGCTCCAATCCAATTTTTCATTCCCGAGTGAAGCATGTTGCAATAGATTTTCATTTTATCCGGGATCAAGTTCAAAATGGTGCTCTTCATGTTGATGGTGTCTCTTCTAAAGATCAAATTGCTGATGCTCTTACCAAGCCACTTCCACGACAACGTTTTCTTCAACTTAAGCACAAGATTGGACTTCTCTCCCGAGCTCCGTCTTGTGGGGGCAAAATAGAGATAATTAGTTGTTTTTTCCTGCTTGACTTAGTCTTTCATATCAGATTGTATTATTCAAATGTATTTAGTTGTCTTCCATAGATGTGAGATTCAGTTTGTAAACAACTTTGTAGTTTGTAGGATCTTCAACCATTCTTGGTTATCTCCCTGGTGTATTTATACGATTGATTAATCAATAATAAGATGATCAGTTTTATTATTCTATCAGATCAGTCACGAATCAAGACAACAATAAATTATAANTCTTGTAAAGGACATTCACACGGGGCAACACTTCTAAATGGCCAAACTAAAGATGGCATTTATGAGTGGCCGGTATCTCCACCATTGCTTGCTTTTTCCAACATCAAAACAACCTTATCCGAGTGGCATCAAAGATTAGGACACCCAGCTTTCCACATTCTGAAACAGATTGTTTCCAAAAACAAACTCGATGTCTCTTTTTCAACAATTCCTTTCTTCAAGGTCATCTATCCGATAATGTATACATGTCACATCCACCTGGATTTGTTGATAAAGACAACCCCTCATATGTCTGCAAACTCAAAAAAGCAATATACGGCCTAAAACAATCCCCTCGGGTGTGGTACCATGAGCTCCGAACATTCCTTTTACAGTTTGGTTTTCAGAATTCATATGCTGATACTTCACTCTTTATCTTTCATGCTGATGGCCACAATATGTATCTCCTTGTTTATGTTGATGATTTAATTCTCACAGGAGACAATGCTACCCAAGTTAATCATTTCATTGCTATTCTTGCTCAGCAATTTTCCATCAAATACCTCGGCTTACTAACTTACGTTCTGGGTGTAGAAGTTATCCCAAACAAACATGGCTTGTTACTCTCACAAAGGCGATATATTATGGATCTCCTCACTCAAACCAAGATGCAAGATGCCAAGACTATTCTTACTCCCATTGGTATCAGTCCTACTCTCATGTTAACCTTAGGTTTTTCTCTGTTCAATCCAACTGAGTATCGCTAGGTAGTTGGGAGCCTCCAATATTTGCTAATAACAAGACCAGGTATCGCCTTTGCTATTAACAAACTATCACAATATATGCACTGCCCAACAACTGAACATTGGTCCTTTGTCAAACGGCTACTGCGTTATCTTGTTGGCACCATTGATGATGGCTTACAACTCTACAATGATTCTACTCTCAGTTTGCATGCTTTCTTAGACTCTTCTCTCAATTTACAAGCTTTCTCTGACGCTGATTAGGCAGGGGACAAGGGCACTGTTTGCTCAACCAGTGCTTATGTTGTTTATCTTGGTAAAAACCCGATATCCTGGAGTTCTAAAAAGCAATGGACTGTTGCTAGATCCTCCACCGAGGCAGAGTATCGCTCAGTTACAAATACAGTTGCTGAACTTAATTTCATCTGTTGTCTCTTGACCGATCTTGGTATTTCGCTTCCCTACTGCCCTGTCATTTACTGTGATAATATTGGGGTGACTCAGCTCTGCTCCAATCCAATTTTTCTTTCCCGAATGAAGCATGTTGCAATAGATTTTCAGTTTATCCGGGATCAAGTTCAAAATGGTGCTCTTCATGGTGCTTGTGTCTCTTCTGAAGATCAAATTGCTGATGCTCTTACCAAGCCACTTCCACGACAACATTTTCTTCAACTTAAGCACAAGATTGGACTTCTCTCCCGAGCTCCGTCTTGTGGGGGCAAAATAGAGATAATTAGTTGTTTTTTCCTGCTTGACTTAGTCTTTCATATCAAATTGTATTATTCAAATGTATTTAGTTGTCTTCCATAGATGTGGGATTCAGTTTGTAAACAACTTTGTAGTTTGTAGGATCTTCAACCATTCTTGGTTATCTCCCTGGTGTATTTATACGATTGATTAATCAATAATAAGATGATCAGTTTTGTTATTCTATCAGATCAGTCAGCTTAGTTCTGTTGTTATTTAATATTTTAATAAATGAATATGACTTTTAAAGTATTAATTTAACTTTTGATTACCGTCTTAATCAAGCTAAGATTCATGGTCTTCCATTCAATGTCAAATGTTCAAATAGTCGTTAAATACAGATGCTGACCAGTAAAACAAGTTGGCGATAATTTGTTTGATTGTATCGCAGTGTACGATGTAAATTAAGTAGTAATGTGAATCTAAGGATTTGATTACAGTCAATTATGTTTACTTGATCAAGTTTTTCTAGTCTCCAAACATTACATAAATTTAATTTCACTCTCGGAAGTTGTGATTTTCCTCCAATTTAATTCTTGACGCTTAATCTTCTACGGTCTTGTTAGTCTTCAATGACGCAAAACCAACTCTAATTAAACTTAAAATTCTCATTTTTTTTTTTGTTTCAAATACCTCCAAATTCGAGTTTTACCTACAATATAACAATATTTACACTAAATTAATTAGAAAATCGTTCAATTTACCAAATTTATGGAAACGCTTATCAAAAATCTTTTATAATTGACAAATAATTAATAAAAATAAAAGGCTTTTTTTTCGTTGTGGCATAAAGTTTCAAATCTCTGATTAATGAATAATTCTTAAATTAATTAATTAATTCCAAGACAATTGATATTTATTTTGGAGTTGTCTTGTGGAGAAAAACAAGTATCAGAAATTTCATGAGAATTAACTGACTCGATCGATTGAGTAGACTTCATCTTCTTAACTTTTTCTTTAGTTTTATTTTTTCGGAGAATCTTCAACTTCATTAATTTTATATTTCTACCTCACTAATTTACAAAACGATACAGTTGAACTTCTAACAAGTAGGCAGTAATTTCTTGTGACTTAAACGACTTCTGGGGTGACCAAACTGACATGAAAAAAGTATGTGGCAAATGACCATTCTCGAGTCAATTTTTTGAGTTCTGCCAAGAAATTTCTGACTTTGACGAAAAGAATTTGATTCTCACTCTTACGTACCAGGAAATTCTTAATTTTACTTAATTCATTAAGATTGAAACTTCAATCCAATCCAATGACATTGGAAGCTATAAATTGGATATTAAGGAACAATGCACATGTTTTTGTCTACCTTCAGACTATTAATTATGAAAACATTTTTTCTTCTCCTGTTCTTTCTTATTACCTTTGCCTTAAAACCAGAAGGCGTTAATGGAGTCGAGCGAGTAATCGGAGCCATATCGGATTGTAACACTCGAGCAGGCAAAGAAGAAAGAGTAGCCATGTATATGGCCATTCAAGATTTCAATATGCAGCCAAATCAAACATTTATTGTGCTGCGATTGAAGTGTTCTCAACATAACAAACCTTCACAGGCAGCTATTGCAGGTAACTAAATCATCCATTACAAATTGGTTTTTTTAGTTGGTTTGATCAACTTTTGACCAATTATTTTAGTGGGTCTCATTAGTTGGACAAAAGATTTATTTGGCTGAGTGTTTTCTACTCAATGAGTAGATTAATGTAATTTATTTATTTCTCAAAATCAATTTAGGATGAATGAGAAATTAAGGCCAAAAGATAATCCCTTGAAGTTGAAATAAATTGGAATAAAAATTGGTGAGAAATTGGAAAAATGCTAATTCAACTTAGGAAAACTAGAATAATAGAAACCACTTTATATTGCTCAAATTTGGGACTAGGTTTAGGCCTCAAGGGGTACTAATAGTCTTTGAAGAGGAGAGAACCTACATGCTAATAGGCCGAGCCAAAGCTCTCACGTGCGCCGTCCTAGCGGCTCTGCTAGATTTTTTGGTAAAATAATATT